CGGCTGTGGGGTTGCTCCCGCCCCGCTCCCGCAGGTTTCCGCAGGTTGACACCCTGGCTCCGGGTGCTGTCCCCGCAGGTGGGTCGGGGGCTCCGCCGGGCGCGGTGTGGGGAGAGAGGGGCTGGCAGCCGTGGTTAGGGCTGCGAGCGGGATGGCTGAGACGAGGGCGCCCAGGTTAAAGCTCCCGAGTTGCCAGCCTGCCCTGGCGCTGTTCGCTGTGGTGGTTTTGCTCCCCGTGCCCCTTTCCCCACAGGCCCCGGGATGGGCTGGCAGCCCCCGGGCGCTCCCGCCTGAGGCACCGAGCCGTGCTCCGGGCGCGCTTTTGGGGGACGCAGAGCTCCTCCTTCGCCCTTCGCTGGCTTGGCTGTGCCCGGAGTGCGCCCCTGAGCTCGAAACGGGGCGAGCTTGGGCCGGGGTTTTGCAGCTCTCCAGAAAACACCGTCCCGAAGGTTCCGAGCAGCCCCCGGAAGGCGCCCGTGGAAGCGGGAGCCTGCCGGCACCTGGTGATGGGAAAGGGCTGCCTTGCAGGATGCAAAGATGAGAAGCTGCAGCGCTAGGTCAGTTTTTGCTAACCAAACTGCTGTTACCTGGGCGAGCCCTGTGCCTTTCGGAGTTCAAAACGGAGAGAAGGAAAGTTGCAACCAACTCTACAGTGCAGCAACCTGTTGGGTGGAGAGGGAGAGAGAAGGGACCCCTGAGCCATGGATTCAGTGCTGCTAAGGGGTGAGACACCCCCCACCCCCCCCGGAAACACTTCAGGACCCAGCTTCTTTGCTTCTCCTTGGCTGCCAGAGTTGAGCATGACACAGCTCCCAGGGACTCGGTCGCCTCTCGGGGAGGGGTGGCTCATGGACCCAGAGCTGGATTTTCCGCTGCCCCGCAGGTGCTCTGCATCCTCAGAGGGGCAGGGAGGAGGCCAAGGGAACCAGATCCCAGGTAACCGGGAGCTGCCAGTGTTGAGTTGCAGCTGGCATTTCTAATGCGGCCTTGGCGTAGCTGCCACATCCCCTCACCCACCTGGTGCGGGCACTGTGCGCTCCGCTCGTACTGCGGACCCTCTGCTGACACCGCTTATGAGTAGCGCTTTCCACACTGTTTTGGTTGTGCCTCCAGTTTTGGAGCTGCCCCTCTCCACCCCTGAGCAAGCCTCACTGCTGTCCACAGGGAGCCAGGCTGGCAGACCTCTTGGAAACCTTGATGTGGCCCTGCCCCTTGGTGGGGAGGCTTGTTTTGCCCAGAAAAGAGCCTGAGAAGCCTGAGCAGGGCAGCACTGGGTGCAGTTTGGCAGCCTGTGGTACCCGGGAGGGGAGCCAGAGGAGCCGTGGACATCTCTGGCTTTCAGAGCCTTAAGTCAAATCTGTCTCCTAGGGGAAAATATTCCCTGCTGCTTGGTCATCAGGGGTAAGGTGAAAGAGCTGTAGTGCTTTGTTTTCCTGCCTTTTTAAGGACTAAATGTGTCACTTGATTTCCAAAATCCTGCCAAATTTGAAAGAGAAAAAGCTAAATGGAGAAAAAACTTGCTGACCTTGTTAGAGCTAGAAGCTGTCCCTATGCTTGGGGCTGTGTGGCTTTGCAGCCTGGCCATCCTAGCCCTGTTTGTGGAAACACAGGTGTGCTGGTGCTGTGAGGGCTGTGAGGGGATGGTGTCTGATTGCATGAAGGAGCAGCTGAAGCTTTCTGCCAGCTTTGGAAAGGGAGAGCTCTTGAAGGCATATGCTTAATGTGAAGCATAACTTTATGGAAATACTCCTTCTGAGGTCTCTTCCTCCTCTGCATTTGATAGCTCAGCAGCGAACAGCTTCAGTGGGGGTGAGCTTCTGCTTTTAATTAAGTCATACACACCTCAACCACAAGGTAGATCTCCCTTGTAAATCAAAATTCTAAATCATCAGGCTTTTTTACCTCTTATTCGTGGTGGCTCTCTAAAGATGGGACAGAAAAACAGAAAAAAATCACAGGCTACATCTTCCTCTAAGGCTGTTTAGCATGTTCCTGTTTGTTAGGCTGGTGCTAACACCTGGAAGGCAGAGGGAGCTGATGGAAGGATGGGATGTTGGAGCCTCCAGCAGTGGTGCTTGGGGCTGAGCTGTGCCTCAGAGCAGCATACTGGGGCATGTGCCCCAAGGAGAAAGTAGCAGCGTTTGATGGGAATGGCCTGGGAAAAAGGCAGCTTTCTGAGGCAGATCATGCATGTGGATGGATGGGAGCAGGTATAAGGCAACAAGAGGCACCAGGAATGGGCACAGAGCCCTGAGACCTGGTAATGCTGCACCAGTCACAGCGCCTTGAAGCAGCGCCCTGGTGGAAAAGTGCGAGTGTCACACAGCCACAGTGAAGTCCTGCAGACTCTTGTCCTGTGACAAGGTGCCAGCCTCTCTGGGGCAGGGATGTGGGTGTGATCCCTGGCAGGGATTCAGGATTGACCAGCCTGGCAGATGGGGGGAACAACTTGTGGTTTGCCTGCAGCAACTATTTGCAGGGCAGATTGTGAAGCAGATGCTTGGGGATATTTGCACACCTTCAACATTTCTTCTCCTTGGCTGTGCATGGCAGTGTGGCAGGCAGGAACTGCCTTTCTGTGGTCATGGGGCATGGTGGCCACACAGTTTGGCCCTGTAGCCAGCCCTCACCACTTCTGCCTCTTTGTAGTGAAGGTGCAGTGCAGCATGAAATTGGCTGTGTGTTTCTGGAGAGGCGGCTTGTAACGTCTCAGTTTCACACCATCTGCCACATGCCCAGCACTTGGGATGGAGACCTTCCTGACCCAGGCTCGGGAACAAGCAGAGGTTGTCCCATGGAGGCAGAACAACGCCTACAGGTGTGGTCTCCCACTAACAAATGAAATAATTGATGAAGTTGTTACAGAGTAATGACAACCCAGGATTTTTCCCAAAGTGGTGAAAAGCCTCTGCATGTCCTTCCTGTCCATGCAGCACAGCTGCTGGAGCATCATGCACCCCAGCCCCCAGCTGTGGGCAGAGGCTTGGGCATGGGAAGGGCATGGCAGCAGCACTGCTCCTTCTCAGAGCGGTGCTTGGGTCTGTCCTCTACCTGTTTCTGGGGGAGGCAGCCGTGCCCTTCTTGGCCCCAAGTGGTGAGGCTGCTGTTTCACAGCAGAGATCCCACTGCTTCCCTCACTGGCTGCAGGAAGGTGAGCTTCCACCTGGGGGTACCATGGTGTCACTAAATTTCTGGCTGTTTCCTGCTGTCGCTTGGCTCTGTGTGAGGAGCCTGCCAGGCCACCTGGCCAAGCAGGGATGAGCTCAGCATGAGGGGCGGTGGGCTCCCAGCCATTTTGGAGAGGCAGAAACCTGGAGGTTTCTGCTCATTTCATCCACATGCTGCTCAGCAGCTGCTGCAGCTGGGCACGAGGGAGGGCTCAGATCTTTGACTGGCACAAAGTTGCTCCTTGGCAGCTCCAAGGATTTGATTTACCCTCTCCATCAGCTCTGGTCATATTGGCCTCATCTGTGACATGCTCCGTATGCCTCTTGGTATTCCCTCCTAATTTTCCTTCCTTTGAGCATCTCCAATCTATTTTGTCTCTGTTTCTCACATGCCTGTCATTGTATAGCAATTATGGTTAGAGAGTTAAAAGCCTTATCAGCTCCTTAGGGGGAGAAGTGTGAGTCAGCTCATCGCAGGACTGTGTGGTGGTTCAAAATAAGTAATGTGGGGTTTTTTTTGATTTTGTTTTTTTTTTTTTTGCATGGGGGTTTCTTTAATTTAAAATGTAAGCCATGGATCTGAAAAAAGCCATGTGGGTATTCAACCTGCAGTTCTAAAGTTAAATAGTATAGAGGCAGAGCTAAATGTGCCAGCCTCGTGCCATCCTCCATGTAGCTGACAGACCTACAGTGGACAGACAAGCAGTAAGATCAGCATTCAGAAATTACTGCCTTTGTGATATTGGGACATGCTTTTCAAAATGGTAGGAGGCTTGAAAATCGCACCTAGCTTTAGCCAAAATTTCAGGTTTCAGTCACACAGCGTGCTCCCCATGCATGCAGAATCAGAAGCACCTTGTCCTGCACCTCCTTCCTTTGTGTGCAGCGGGTCCTGCAGCTCCTGGTGGTTATCCTCACTGAGCTTGCTGTCTGTGAGGTATGAAGATATCAGGGGCCTGGAAGTGGCTCTGGAAATCCCAGTGACAGGAGCAGAATGAAGCAGGAGCACAGGGTATTCCCTGAGAAGAAGGGTGACAACTTTGTAGCTCCCCAGTGTTCCTGGAGATTGAGCCTTTGCAACCTAGCTTTTAGGATGATGTGATAAGCAGGGTTTCTTGGTTTTCTTTCTTTTTCTTTTGGTGTTTGTAGGAGAAAGCATGAAAATGTTGGTGTGGAAGTTTTAAATATAAATTAAAAATAATCTTCAGATATGCTGTGTGTTTTAACTCACAGTTTTTAAGTAGCTTCATCGCAGGGGGTGTTGCAGTAAGTCTGGCTTGAGACTTTTTTGATTGCCTTGGGGATGGCAATATTGCAGGTTTCTCAGGCCAGACAAGAAGGGATCTTGTTGGACAAGAAGAACAGAAGGAAAAAGCAGGAGCCTGTCTCGGAAGCAACAGATTTCTGAATTGCAAAACCCCATCCTGCAGTGTTCGTGTTGGCGGAACAGTTATCCGGATGTTTTCCCACTGTCAGTGTGTGGCCCGGTGTCCTGTCAGCCGAGGCTGCTCCACACCAGCAGAGCTCCATCTCCCACCAGGGACTGGCAGTAGGAGCACAGAGTCATCATGGGTGAGCCAAGGTCTCCTGCTCCCCTCCTGAGGCGGCAGGAATGGCTCTGCTCTTTGCGCATTGCTCCTTCTCCCCAATTGCTCTTCTCTACCTCTGGCCACACAGCCACCATCCTAAAAGGTCTTCTCAGCAGATGTTTCTCCAGATGTGCTCCTTAGAGAGGTGTGCATGTACAATTTCTCTGTCAAGGCTGGTGTGACCAGACAGGATTGCAGAGCTCATGAAGACTGGCACATTTCTGAATGCAATTGTTCTGTTGTCTGTGATTTGACATCTTCTGCTTTCCACCTTTTGATTCACCGAGCAGTGATGTCACCTTTGGGAAGAAGCCTCTCTTTCAACACTACATCAAAACGAACCTGGTGGGGTGAAAAGTTCATTCTGCCCGCTCTGGGTCTATACATGCTGTGCCAATTTTTCAGCTTCTTTAAAGGTTTCTTTTCCCTCTGTGTTTTTTTCCAAAAGAAATGTTTTGAAAGGGAAGAAGAAACTTTGAGAGAGTCAAGATGTGCATTGAGATGACATCAGCTGCACCTATTTTGAGGGCTATTTATGCATTAGTCTGCAGTTATTCAGCATTGTTAGATATTGGACTCGATGATCTTCCAGGTGTTTTCCAGCCTTAGTGATTCTATGATTCTGTATCTGTCCCTGGAAGTGTTCAAGAAACATGTAGATGCCATGCTTAAGGACATGGTTTAGTGGAGGGGTTTGGCAGTGTTGGGTTAATTGTTGGACTTGATGATCTAAGAGCTCTTTTCCAAACTAAATGATATTATGCTAAGTGTTCCTGGGCCTCAACAGATCTAAGGAAACAGGTTTTCCAGGCCTAGAGATCAACCATTGAGATGACCACAAATTGCTTTTATCCAAATACTGTTTCTAGCAGTCAGTGCTTCCCTTTTATCTTAGAAGATGATGGTGCTAATATTTTCCATGTGGTCCAGTCACTTGTTTCCTATTGAGTTTTGGTTTTGTGGATCATGTCTGTGTGCAAGCTGATGTTCCTCTGTGGCCAAATACTCTTTACCATGTCCCAAACAGGCAGCAGGTGCAAGGCCACAGAGACCGAGGGCAGCAAGGGGAAAGCAAAGCAAACAGAGATGTCGGGTCCTTCCAACCCAAGCTGTTCTGTGATTCTGCTCTGCAAGTCATCCATGGGAACTGGTTGGAATTTTGGTCTTAAAAACACCCCCAAAAAACCATACCCCACAAGTCTCTTTTCTCAATGGATCCTTACATTTTAAGGATGTGGGGTTTTACCTGTGTTGTTTCCTGTCCTGACAAACACTACCTAGCCTCACCCTGAAGGTCAGTGACCCCCCCAAAGTGCTGGTCCCCCTTGGATCCTCTCCAGGCTACAGAGAAGCATTCATGCCAGCTCTCACAGGAGGCAGGAGCTGGGCTGGAAATGCCTGTTGCCTTTCAGCTACAACTGCACTGGTGCTTGCTTTGTTGCATACTAATGAACACTAATTGGCCTTGGCTTGTTATCAGTATGGTGTGGGAGCCGTTTGCAGAATGCAGGGGTGGGGGCTGGGGAGACCCCAAGGGGCTTCTGCCCTTCTCCGAGGAGTGGCCTCCTGGGTGGATGAGGGCTGAATTCCTTGTGGTAGCACCTCCATTTGTGAGCCACAGGAAGGCTGTGCCTGCTGGCCTCATGCCCACCTTGGTAGTGGTCCACCTGCCAGGTGTGTTCCCCCTCTGACATGGCAGAAGGTTACAAGGAATTATAGGGGTTTTTGTCTTTAAACCCACCCGGAGGCATGGGGAGGAGCTGAGCCCCTTGGAGGCTGGGCAGTGCTCACCTTCAGGTCTTGCCAGCATCAAAGTTTCAGTGCCCCTCTCCTACCCCCATCCCCACCCAGTCCCTCCACACTGTCCATCGGTCACTGAATTGTTCAGCTGGAGCCTGTCTCCTCCTTTCCACTGCATTTCCAGCGTTGTAGCAATCCTGGCATTCACTGCAGCAGCTGGATATCTCCTGCAGCCATGGCTCTTTTCTAGTCACTCAGGCTGAGCTGTGAAGGGCATGAGAACTCCCAGAGGATGATCCTGCTGGAGTGGGGAAACACCACCACGGTTTGCTACAAGCTAGAGGGAAGGAGGCTTGATGGAGTTGGGTGGCGTCAGCACTCTTGAAAAACACGTCTTTACACACCATGTGTGCAAAATCTTCAGTCTGGCTGAAGTGTGATACTGTGTTTGTAGGACACAGCGAGCTGATCTCACGCTGGATGAAGTTCTGGCAGGGGCAGGACGGTGCCTGGACCTGCAGTACATGAAGGCTTCTGCCAGCGGGAGAGCTGGGATTATTGCTTCAGAGGTGGGTCTGCTAATTTTGGACAGGTAGCCTTCTTTCTTTGATGTGCTCGGGCTGGGACTTGTAAGCAACTACTCTAAAGCTGAAAAATCAGTGTACACTCGAGCTGAGACAACACCTGTAGCTTTATTGTCATTTGAATCCCAATTGTGCCCTGTGACGAACATCAAGTTTCAGACCAGGTCCCGGCTGCTGTGCTTCTTTTTAATTTACTCTTTCTTTGCTCACACAATGACAGGAGTTTTTCCAAAGAAAGGACTTGGAAGCAGAGGACATCAAAGTGTCAGGAGCAGTGACAGGGAGGGATGGAGCACCGGTCAGGCACAGGGGATGCTCAGGCAGGGAGCAGCCCCGAGGAGCACGATAGGGATAATTTTTTCCTCCCACCTGTTGTTAGGAGCAAATAGGGAGCGAGCTATTGCGCCTCCTCCCCAGCTGCTAACGACGGGAGACTTGCTTATGGTCGTGCACTGGAAGCTAATTAAACCTGGTGACAATGGTAATTGAGTAAGGATGCTTGAGGATAAGTATGACCTCATGTCTAAAATGGTAATGAGGCCTATTAAAATCCACACCAAAAAGAGAAATGAAAGGGGGAACAGAGGCAGAGGTGGTGCAAAAGGAGCAGGACCAGGCAGGGACAATACCTGGCAGCCAGAGCACTGGGAGGGAGGGGGAGCACGGAGATGCCAGGCTTCTAAATCTTAATAAACAGCCGGCTCTTCAGGTAGCCACGTCGGGCCGAGTCAGCCAAAACACTGGGTTCAAGCACCTTCCCCCTCTCCTCACACCAGGCCTGGGTGTAGGTCCTGTTAAGTGATGGCAACACGTGTTGCTGTTCGTTGTTGTCTTCACTGGCTGTTTCTTTGCTGGAAGAAAGGGATGTTCCATGAAACCAGCAGTCACTTCTGGCACAAGGAAGGTACTTTCAAAATAACCCTGAAATTGCTCCAGTGCAGGAAAATGTATTGGCAAAGGAAAGATGCAGGGGTTCAGGGTGCCATGCCTAGCACAGCAACTCATTTTAGCTCCCAGATGGGATATAGGGGCTGGGGGCCACTGTGACCCTCCCCAGGTGCTGTTTTGCAGGGTGGTGTAGTAGTGCTGGGGATGCCACCGTGCTCCGTTGGAGGCCAGGTCCTGAGCTGACTCCCCTCGCTACAGAGGACACCCCAAGGGACACTGGTAGGGGGCACTCCCTGTCCTGGCTGGATGTGCATCACATCAGTTTGGGTAAGCTCAGCCGTGGGCTGCCCTCAGACCCTGCCCTGCTGACAGGGAGGATGTGGTGTGTGCCACAGGTTTCTTCTCACTGGAGAAGGCCAACGCTCATCCTTCCAGCAGGGCAAAGGTACGGCTGGATGACGGCTGAGGATGTGCTATGGAGCCGGGATTCAACTGCTCTGAGCTCTGCGACGGCAGCTCCAGTTTTGGCAGCCAGGAGCAGCAGCAGCAGCGGGCGCTGCAGGAGCTCTGCACTGTGACAGTGGTATGTATGGGTGCAGCGGGGTGTGTGGATGCGGGGGAGTGCGCTGGGGTACGAGGTTTGCTCTGCAGAGATAGATTTGGGGGAGGGAAGAAGAGGGGGTTGCAGGTGTCAAGCAGTCCCAGTCCAGCTGAAGGCAGCACATTGTCACCGACCTGGTTGGCCCCCAAGACATGCCCAGTCTAGGTGACACCCAGCAGTTATCCAGGAGGGGAGAAAGCATCCATGACAGCCAAGTCATGTCAAGCAGTCTTGCCACGTGTCAGCCAGCTGCTCAGGATTGGTCTGAAATGGCCCCATCTGCCCTTGACCTTTCCTGTCCCCTATAACTTCAAAGTGCTTTTCAAATATGAGCAGAGCAGGATTTAATTAAAAGTCATCATCTGTAATAAATGGTACCTTCCCCCTCCCACCACTAAGGCAGTAGAAATGACTCTGGGATGCACTCAATTGCAGCTGGCACCATGTGAGGCTGCTGGATGGAGCGGCGAGGCTTGGCCCACTCGGCTCTCCCTCACGTCCTGCACGACCATGGGCCTTTAATTAAAAGACTGTAAGCTGCTTGGCTCCTCTGGCTCTGGCAGCCGGCTTACAATTAATATTCCCCCTGCCAGGACCAGGATTTACTCCGCTCAGCAGCCAGCAAAGCGCTCCATCAAGTAGCATCAACATCCAGGGAAACAGCAGTCAGGTGGGAGGGTGTGTGGGAGAGAAAAAGTGGAGATCATAGGGGTGTTTCTGATCCCTGGGTGGTTGCTGGGAATAGGGTGCAGTAATACTTTTGACAGTAGCCAGATGTGAAAAGATTTTGTTGGTGGGTGCACCTGAGAGTGAAGTGCAGAAGCCCCAGAATGCTGAGTTTGCCCTGCTCACCTCAGTGGCTGAAGCCAGATGTTACCCTTGGGCTCGAGCAGGTAGGACACAGAAATAGAATGTCTAGATCATACCTTACAGCCTTGTAGCAGCCCTGTCAGCTCCAGGAAGTGGGGAGGATGGGCCTGATCTGTACTGAATGATGGGGTTTTTACACAGAGTCCTGGCGTAAGTGGGGGACTGACTTGGCTGACCATCTCTACCATCTGGTGTGGTTTTCATTTCCCAAAGAGGCAAAAGACTCCCCAGGGAATAGCATGAGGGAAGAGGAGGTGGGAAGCAGTTTTCAGGGGGGAGATGAGTATCCCCCCAGGGATCCCTCCACGCTGCTGCAAAGCGAGGCTGAGATGTGCACGCAGCTGTATCCCAGCAGCAGCAGCAGCAGCTCTCAGCTGGATGTCTCTCCCAGGCAGGGGTTTGCCTTTCCCAGTTGCCCTGTGACCAGCGTGGCACCAGCATGTGAGCTGCCAGGAGCCTGCAGATCAGCTGTGCTCGTGTGGCAGTGACACGTTTTTGTTTCAAGAATTATGTGGTGGCTTTAATTCTGCAAGCTGTGCGTTGTTCTTGCTCGCCCAGAGGAGATGAAGCCTGGCTGGGGAAGAGGGACATGAGGCATTGGCTCTAAACAAATGCCTTTCTTCTGCCTGAAGATTTATTTCTAGCAAGGTTGGAAGCAGCTCAGACCTTGAAGTAAAAATTGGGAGTTTGGGGCAGTGTCAACTGTCAGGAAAAACAGTCTTCTGCAGTAGAAATTGGATGCAGGAATATCTGAGAAAGGAGTCAGCACCAGAGAAGTTAGTGAGGAGGTGTGTGATCCCAGCTCAAACTCCATTTTTCTCCCTCCCCCCTTGAAGAGGATGTGCCAGCACTTTTATTAAAATGATGCTTTTTTTAAGGAAAAAAAAAAAAAAGTTGGTAACCCACACATGCACACCCTGTTAAAAATGCTGGAGCATTTTAGATCAGCAGCGGAAGTAGGTTTCTTGTTTCGCGTAGGATCATTTTATCCGTTTTATGTTAATAAGGAGATAGCAGAGAATATTTTTAAATGGAGATTTAAACCCATAAGGTGGTTTGTGTGTAAGGAGAGAGGTGCCTCCATCATTCCCACTTTGGGAGTGTCCCTCAGAAGCCAGTTCTCAGCTGACGTCTGCCTGGGACCAAGTTAGTTTCCAGCCAGCTGGGAGACGGGTAGATTCCCGCTCAGTGTGTCACCACCTCTGAAAAACGCTGTCACACTCCCTTTGCTGTGCTCCTGCACCGACCGGCAGCTCTGCTGCTGGCTCCAGTCACGTCCGCCAGCGGATCAGTTGTCTGCTGCGGGGAGGGGTAAGGGTGAGCGCCAGGAAGCATCTAGAGAAGCATGATACCAACTGGGGCACCACGGGGCCTTTCTTCAAAGATTCTTTTCCAGAAGACAGTGGGGAACTGTTGTCTGTGTTCCCATGTCCCAGAGGCAGGGCTGCCTGAGGTTTGTGAATCACTTGTACAGCTTCATTATGGATTTGGCTAGTTGGCCATAAGAAGAGAGCTCTTGGACTGCCGTGTCCTCCTGAGCACTCAGCAAGTGACAGAGCACACATCCTGTCCACACACATCTCAGTGGCCCTACCTGCATTACTTGGTCTGGTGTCTTACTGGGAGCTGTGGTTTCCGGCTGAGCAGGATAACTGGGGGAATGATCATGCTGGAGTAGGGGCCTCCTTTGCTGAGAGTCCTAGCAATGTCCTCTTCTTCCTTATCCCTTTTGCCTCCCACAGACATCTTTTGACCGCAGTGTGAAGAGCTCCCCATCCTTCTCTGCTGGGCTCCTGGGAGTTGTATGGACATTCCTGACTGGAGGAGTCCTGCTAGCACTCTTCTTTCTCATCTTCACAATTCGCTTCAGGAAAAACAGGTAAGGGCATCCCTCTTCTCTTGGGAATTTTCCCCTGAGCTGGAGTAGTGGAGTCAGGCTCCTTCAGGACCAAGCTCTGAGTTGATGACCAGCTAAGGATCAGGAGGGTGTAAGCCTGAATAAGCAGGACAGAGCAAGCAAGGGTAGTGCCAGGGATGTTGCAGCTTTTTCCATCACACAGAGATTTGATCACTGCTGGAGACAGTCCTGTTCAGACTGCTCCTTTCCTCCTCAAGTTATGGAGCTGTAGACAGGATGAAAGGAAATGGCCTCAGGAAATGGCATCAGGGGAAGTTCAGGTTGGGCACCAGGAATAATTTTTTCACTGTCAAGGTTGTCAAGCATTGGAACAGGCTGTCCAGGGAAGTGGTAGAGTAACCATTTCTGGAAGTGTTCAAGACTGGGTGTGGCACTTAGTGCTGTGTGCTTAGTTCTAATGGTGGTGTATGGTCGAAGGTTGCACTTGATGGTCTTTGAGGTCTTTTCCAAACTTAATGATTGTGTAACTCTATGGGTACCCTCTGGCACAGACAGTGGTGCATGGTCTCATCCTGGAGCTGCTACTCAATGAAACCATCAACAGGAGTGGGAAAAAAGAGAGCTCATTTCTGCTCCACATGCTTGAGAGCATCGCTCTGAGCAGCACAGCTCCATAGCAAGGTCATCATACTACCCACTGTGTGTCATGTCCTTCCTGCTGTAGGGCCACTCATACTTTGAAGATATTGATAACCCTTTTTGTTCTTGGTGATTGCTCGTATTGCTGGGGAACCTGATCTCCATTGGTGAGAGAAGCTGTAGAAGTGTAGACTTTTTTTGGTGATGTTCAGTCTGTACAGAGGAGATAAAAAGTCCTGCTCCCCTGAAGGCAGCATAAATCCAGCAGAAGGCTCGGCAGTTCCTCATAGCTCAATGTGTCTCAGTAGTCCTGAGCCATCCTCAGCAATTCTGGATGTCTCTGCTGCATCTGCCACCTTCTCCTCAGCCTCATTGGTCCCTTGGTATCTCAGCTGCTTCTTCCTCCAGGGATACATCCCTCTCCCAGGCTTCACCTGGCAAGGCCTTTACTCTCAATGTGCCATTGTTTCACAGAGGTGTGCATCTGAGTGCAGCCTGGACTGATGTTGTTTGACTTCTCTGGTGGCTTTAAGGAATTTAATGCTTCTGATGACCACTGTGCAGTTGGGAGGGTCCTGCCCATAAGGGCTTGTGTTGAGGGCCCTGTGCCTGCTGTGCTGCAGCAGCTGCATGACCTGCATCCCAACTGCTTCCCAGTCTGAAGCACTTTATTTACTGAGTGGTGCTGGCTACTTGAATTGATGTTCTCGGAACGTGCTGTAATGAATGTGTGTTATTTATTTGCTCTGCTGTAAATAAATACTGGTCTGCCTCCTGAAGCTGGCAGGGCAGAGGAGACCTTTCTCAGCTGCAGCTGAGAGCATGAGCTGGTGAATATCTTTCTCCAAGGGCTGAGACGTGGTGAGGAAGGAGAGAGACAGGTTGAAGCCCAGGCTTTGTGACTGCAAGACAGCAAGCTAGGAAGGAGCTCAGGTCAGCAGCAGGTCAGAAGGGCAGAGCTATTGGGCAGGATAGCAGGAGGTACAGCTTTCACTCGATGGGCTTGCTAGGGAAGGGTGACAGGCCATGAGAGATCAGTGGGTTGATTCTCCCATCCCTGAATACAGTTACAGGATTATGAGTGATGAGGTGAAATTACAGAGGGGAGACTGTAACCTGAACGTTGCTGGCAGCTTCCTGAAGTTGAGACTGTGCTGAGTGTGGAGGTATCTCCTCAGAGGAAGGAGCAGTGGGACAGGGATGTTCCTGGGGGCACACGTAGCTCTTGCACCCAGAGCTTACTGCTGGGGACAGTCACCCTGGGCTGTGTTGGTGTGGTTTTCTGCCACCTGTGCCCCTCTGCAGCAGAAGTGTTGGCATAGGGCTAAACGAATGCTTGAAGGATTGTGAAGCGCTCTAGCAGGAAAGGGGAGAGGATGGGACCATAGAGTAGTGGCTGAACTTTTGGAGCAGGCTGGGGGTGGACAGTGTGTCAGCATCCCTTGTGACCGTCATCATCCCTGTAAGGGGACCTCACCCCTGTGCTGCCAGGTCATGGTGCTCAGTAACTGTCACCAAATTCCCTGCTTTGTTTCCTAAAGGATTGTGAAGATGTCCAGCCCCAATCTCAACATTGTGACCCTGCTGGGCAGTGGCTTGACTTACACAAGTGCTTACCTCTTTGGGATTCAGGAGCAGAGCCTGCCATCTGGAGACTCGATGGAAAAGCTTATTCAGGTGAGTGGGGTTTTTGCTGGGATGGGCACCCTGACACATGTACAGGCCTGTTAGTATGTGCTCTCTCCCAGCCAGCTGTCACCTGTACATGCTCTGTCCCAGCCACAGCCTGTCACCACCACGTTGCTCAGCTGGGCTGTGGCTTTCACATATGCAAATGGCAACCAAACACTTTCTGTCTGAATGGCCTTCGCTGTTTTGCAAACCACATCTGCACCGAGGAAGGGATTTGAGGCAGGTCCCAGGGGGACAGGTCCCACAGGCAGGCAGGCAGGCTGCTGGGCTTGTAGAAATGCAGCAGGCAGAGGGGAGCACAAAGGGAGATGGGATCCTCCACACAGCCACCACTGCCTGACACAGCACAGGTGAGTTTTTTGACTGCAGAGCAGATCTTCATTAAAATGCTCACCTGTGTAATGAAACCCCCATGTCCTGGCCTGAGGCAGCCACCCTGCCAGACTGAGCACGCATCCATGTGGGGGAGTGGGACATGGGACAGTGCACACCCTGCATCCTGCTCAGCCACTGGGCTGAGGATAATTAACGGAGATGCCAGCAAGTGATTTATGGGTGCTGGGACTTTCTGTGCCCCTGCTGCTCACAAGCTGCCTGTCTCTCCCTGCCTGCCCTTCTAATGAGAGTGTCTAGGGATGGGGAGGAAAAGGTAGGCAGCAGGCATGCCTACAGAGGAGTACTTGCCTTTGAATTTATTTCATCCTGTGGTCAGCTTTTTTGTATCTGATATCCCCCTCCAGAAGTCAGAAGAGTGTAGACATGTCCCCAGCCATCTGTACTGCACCCCAGACTGGGAGGGTGTATGGTGTCCCTGTGAGCCCCTTTCAGCCCCCTTGCTCTGACCCCTGGCAGGTGAGGCTGTGCCTGCTGTGCGTGGGGACCTCCCTGGTGTTCGGTCCTGTCCTGGGGAAGAGCTGGCGGCTCTACAAGGTGTTCACCCAGCGGGTGCCAGACAAGCGGGTGGTGAGTAACCAGAATCTGAGATGGGAAGGGAGGGTTCCATGGTGGGAAAACACCAGCAAGTCACAAACCAGTGTGGGATAGCAGATAAAAATGGCATATGACAGGGATGGATGCCACAATCACAGGCCTGGTTTCACACCTGGCTGGGCATGGTGTTTATGGGCATTTATTCCTGCACAATGAGGCTGGAGATTTCCCACTCTACAGGCAACTGGGTGCCCTGCCAGGCTGCCTCTTCCCCAGTGGAGTCCCAGCCTCATCACTGAGAAATGCTCTCATTTTACATTGGCCACATGCCTTCATTATTCTACACACCAGTGTTTGTATTCAGGTCTGCACTGATTGTTTTTGTGGGATGAAAGTAAACCAGATGTCCTCAAAAGCATCTGATGTAGGGCCATCCCCAGATGGATCCCATCTGCTCTTGAAGGCAGGAAGAGAGTGCTGGGCACTCCTCTGCAACACTTAAGGATGGGGATTCAGCAACTGGGAGGGAAATGGGAAATTTGTGCACAAAAAGGTGCACTTAAAACTTTCAGTGGTCACTTTCAGCTGTGAAAAAAGTAGGTCTCGGATGAAAGATGGGACAAGAGGGTTTGCAGGGAGCTGGGGACCAGCAAGGACTCCTGTTTCACACTGGGATCTGTGTTAAACTTGCAAAATTATCATCCTACCAGGTGTTTATCTCCACCCTTTTTGTCTCTGCATGTGATATGGTCATAAGGGATGTCAGTCGTGGAAGAACTGTTTTCTCTCATAGCATTTACCTGTTATCCACACCATCAGGCAGGGTTTATACCTGGTCTCAAGCCAGGTCTCTTGTTATAGGTCTCCAAGAATTTGTGAGTTAAAGACAGAGATCTTGTGGCCAACTCAAATGTAGGTGCTGGACACCTCTCTGGGTGAAGTACTAGGATGGACGTGTCACTTGAAAGAAACCATAGAAAGGGACCCAAGGGGGATGGAGGTCATTGGTGCCCATTTGTTCCCATAGTAACTTTCACTTCTTGTGTGTTTGCAGATTATCAAAGACCTGCAGTTGCTGGCAATGGTGGCAGCATTGGTGCTGGCAGACACTGTCTTGCTCTTGACATGGGTGTTCTCTGACCCAGTCCAGTGCTTCCGAAGCCTCAGCGTCTCACTGCGGGTAAAAGGATGAGGAGGGCCAGTGCAGGGTTTTGCTATGTCCTATCTGAAATCTGTGGACAGTATTGGTGGGTGGCTGGGCATTTCGAGGTGGTCTTTGAGAAACAATAGAAAGAAAAATGAGGTAGAAAACCCTCTGGGCACACTGGATTTGTTTTATGTTTGGTCTATTACAGAGGCCAGAGTCCACTGCAAAATTTCCAGGTGTGTGGAGATCACCTGTGTGACACAGGAGGGCTCCAAGGCATCTGCTTTAGAGAAATGTTAAACCAGCCCTGTTGGCAGCAGGAGGGCCACAATCTTCTCACTTGAAGCTTCTGCCCCTAATAGCACCAGCTTTGACCTCTCCTTTCAGAAATTTACAGAAGAGACCAGCTTAGGTGCATCTTCCCATTGGTCTGTGCCAGGCTGCAGCCTTCACTTCTGCCTTTCCCTTGCCTTGTAGGCGACAGAGAAAGGCATGACGTGCTCCGTAAGCCGGGTGCAGTCCTGCGCGTCGCTCTATTCCGATCTCTGGCTCATTCTCATTTTAGGGTTTAAGGTAAGTAACCTCTTGGCTGTTTCTTGCATTGTATCTCACCTCCTCCCTGTCTTTCAGTCTAAACTGTTTCACAGCATTTGTCATTTCACTGCCCTCTCAAACTACATGCCCATTGCAGATCCCAGCTACTCCTGTTCATTGTGTAAACCCTCCTATTTCCAGCCCTTCCCATCTTGGGAAGGGTGAAAGCCCTGCTAGCTGCTTTCTCCTTGCCTCACCATCTCCTTTATGTACACTGTGCACATACAGTCAGTCTCTCTTGATCTCTCCCAGCAACCCCCTGAGCTTCATCCATCGCACTCCTTGAAACTCACACCTTGCTGTTCTTTATGTCACGCTCATTCCCTAAAGACTCCAGTGAATGGCCATTGCCAAGGCACACCAGGTGGCTCTGCCCTGAGTCCTGTGACTTCAAACCAAGGCGGTGCTGATGACAAGTGCTTGGTCCCCACCTTTACAGGATGCTTATCAGGTTAATTATACCTCTGAGGTGCACTTTCACTGGTGAATCTCTGCACATGGCCAGTCTTTTTCCAGCAGTGTTAGTTATACTGATGTAACTATGTTGGTATAATTATCACTGTAATTATCTGTGGTCTCATGTGTCTCTGGTGTGGCAGAGGCTGGACACATTTCAGAAAGCTGATGTTGATGAAGCTTCTGAGATCACAGCCTTTTTTTGGGAATGGCTTAATCTCTGCGTGCAGAACAGGCAGCTCCTTTGTGATTCACTGTAATGTAATACTCACTGACCATCTACCCAGAATCACAGGAAAAAGAGCAGAAAGGGACCTCACAACACAGACAAGTCCTTCTACATTTAATTTCAAAGACGTTAATCTAGAGTGTCCTTAAAAGTCCTTTGGTGTTAGGGAATGTAGGCATTACCTGGGCTTTAAGTGCTGTGTCTCCACCTCTGATTTTGTCTGCAGTTTGTGTTAGGGTTTAGAGAGGTAATGTCTCTGCTTGCAGCCTTTACAAAATCCTTTTGGAAATAAAACATCCCCATTATCAGTTTCAGGTAATCTTTTTAATGTTGCATTGAATCTGGCCCTGTTCCTTCCTGCTTATTGGGGGTCACGGAGTACTTCCTTGGTGGTTTCTCTGGAGTTAGTCTGGATTTACACTAATGTGAGAGTAGGCTTTATCTCTGCATACATAGCACTTCTTAGCATCCACAGTATTAATGTGCTCAGCCCTTTGGGAAGACACTCAGTGTATTATCCTGGTTTTACTGGCACAGAGCAATGAACAGAAATGACTTGCCAAGGACATGCCTGGAATTAGGAGCAAAGTCCTCTGCTCAAGTTTAAAACAAACAAACAAACAAGCCACTTATTCCTGTGCTTACTGAGAGTCCTAGTTTATGAGATGGCAGCACTGTTGTTTGTGTCCCAGATAGACTGTGTGAATTTAAATGGGACTTTGGTGCTGGTTTTTTCCTGTTTAGGGATTAGAGGTTGGCTTGCCTTTGGGCTGTTTGGAGGTGCCCCATGGTGGACACAATTATGATCCAGTGAATATTCTACAAAGCAGGGTCAGGTGCCAGCCCAGTTCCCAGCAAAGCAGGTTTCACTCTTACAACCCCACCTTGAGACTTTGTGCTACTCTGAAACTGGGAGTCTCACCAGAGATCTGGACATAAACCTCTCTTGTCTGTGTCCCTCCAGACCTTAACCCTGGCAGTGGCCATCACAGTCATCAACCAGCCACAGCACAGAGGGGTTCAGAAGGGTTTAAAAAACATCTGCATCTCATGTCACAAAGCACTTCTTGATGCCCAAAAAACAATGGGCAAAAAGTAAGTAAGTGTCAGCCTCTTAGTAAAAGGCTGACACTTACTGGGTAGCACAAGAATAATGTAGGTCATATTCCCTGTATTCCAGGTCCTTGCAAGAGCTGGGACTTTGTTAGATGATATTTCCAAATGATCCTGAAGGCAGACCATGCTCAGTTCTATCGAGGCAGCCAAAAAATACTTGATGTTTCCTGCTAGTGTCATCTAGGGAAGGAGTGGCTTATCCTGCTGGATAGTTTTATCCTGAGCTTACTGGAAAAATGCGTGCATGAGACCCTTGATGAGCAGCGTGGTGAGACAGCCTGCTCTGCTCAGGGGAAGGGAGAGCTTCTGTGTACAGAGCACTTCTGTAGAGCCCTTCCCTGCTGCTGGAGTCAGGAAACAGCAAAGGGAAGGGAAAAGAATTGCACCTGGTAGTTTCCTGGATTATTGCTATTTAAAGAGGCACCAAGTACATCCTCTTCCCTCTGGTCTAAACTTCATTCCTTGCTTTCCTCTTTGAATTCCTTCTGTATATTTTTCCTGCTCCTTCAGAGGTATGCTGTTGCCCCTTGATGGCACTCACTGCTGCATCCCTGCAGGGACCTCTGCCTCCTGTCTGCCTGCCTTTGCTTCTCCTGCTCCAGGCTGCCCAAGGGGCGGTTTTGACAATTTCTCCTGCCATCCAGAGCCATCCCCTGCTCTGTGGCAGCACCTGCTGACCTTTGACTCCTGGCTCTTCACACCCTTTGGCTGGGACCACCTGTGCCCACCAGTGGCCTCACTCCTGCCCTGTGTCCCCAGCCCTGCTCCTGGCCTGCAGCAGTGTGCCGGGTGTTTGCCGCGGCATCACCACCACACGCTCCAGGTCTGCATTATAGATCAAAGAGCATTAATTAGGATTGCGCTGAGTGTATCTGAGCTCACCGGGCTTGGTGCGAGGTGGGGGTTGACACCATCAGGCTGTAATTTTCCACACTCTGGAAACCTCTTTTTTCTGCTTCCAGAGTATCCTCCTGCTATATGGGACCTACTTGGCCGGTCTGACTGACAACGTCAGCTCCTCACCAGTCAACCAGTCCTTGACACTCATCGTCGGGGTCAACCTCGTTTTCCTGGCTGCTGGCACCATCTGCTTAGTTCACCGTTTCTTCCGTACTTGGCACAATTTGCTGTTTGGTTTTACCTCTGGAGGCATCTTTGTGTGTACAACCACGATCAACTGCTTCATCTTTGTGCCACAGGTATGCTGCCACCTCTGTCCTGTCACTTGGCTGGAATCGGGCACATTTTCTGAGTTTAACAACATCAGCCGTGGGTGTCAATGCACTCACTTACCTGCTTTTTTCCCCCAAATGTTTGGACTCACCTGCACAGCTCGTTCTCCAAGCTCCACCCCACCCCACCCTGGTGGTTCTGCTTCCCCTAGCAAGTTCCCTGAGTCTCAAAGAATCACAGAATTGTTTGTATTGGAAGGGACCTAAAGATCATTTAGTTCTAACACCCTTGCTGTGGGCAGGGAAGCTTCCACCAGACCAGGTTGCTTGAAGTGTCATTCAGCCTGCCCTTAAACATTTTCAGGGATTGGGCCATACACAACTTCCCTGGGAAAGCCTGTTCCAAGGTCTCACCACTCTCATAGTGAAGAATTTCTTCCTTATGTCTAATCTAAACCTACCCTCTTTCAGTTTAAAAGCTTTCTGCTTTGTCCTATCACTGTGTCCTTGTAAAATGTCCATCTCCAGCTTTCTTGTCCCTTGTCCCCTTTATGTCCTGGAAAGTCTCCAAGGAGTGCAGCACTGCTGCTCAGAAACCCTCCTGCAGGAGCGTGCCACAGGTAACAGCCACACAGCACACGTGAGATGAGGCAGCCACCAGCCTCCTGCTCCATGCAGGTGCTGGGATGTGTCCTTTGTGCAGTTGTCCATTTCTCTTACTTCACATGGCCACTCGCACCAGGAGCTTCTGCCACTGGCAGGGATGGAGCTGGGCACGGACCATCCAGATAGCCCAGCTACTCTCAGAGACTTCTTTGCTGCTGGTGGTCCCCAGGGGAGGCTGTCCTCCTCTGCACTTTTGGAGAAGGAAGCTGGGCTTTGCCACAGGCGAGGAGGAGGAGGAGGTGGAGGTGTTTAAAGGAAGCCTTTTGTGGTTAGGTGAGGCGTTTTTGCTTCCTGTGTCCTCCAGGAGCAGCCTGGTGTGCCTGGCCATCATGTTAGTGGGAATAATGCTCCCATTGTTAGAGGGAGAGGAAACAGTTATTTACTCAGTTGAATGTTTGGAGGGATGTTTGGGCTCAAGGACATGAGGTGAGAAAGGGAGGAAGAGGTGAGGCTGACGAAAGCACATCTGTGCAAGGGAGGGCTCAGGGGATCTCAGCAATGTATATAAATATCGATGGGGGAGCAAGGCTCTTCTCAGTGGTATCCACTGACAGGACAGGGGACAATGGGCACAAACTGAAACACAGGAAATTCTATTTAAACATAAGGAAACGGATGGAGTTTTTTCTGTGAAAGTTGTAAAGCACTGCAGCAGAATGCCCAGAGAGGTTGTGGAGTCTCCATCCTTGGAGATACTCAAGGCCCAGCTGGACAAAGTCATGAGCAGGCTGCTCCATCTGACATTGCTTGAGCAATGAGTTGGGATGATTTCCAGAGGTCCCTTCCTGTCTCAGTTGAGACAATGTAACTGCAGAGCCCCAGACCCTTAGATGAGCAGCCTTTGGGAGCAGGGATCTAAACCTCCTCTGGTGAGCATCAGGCCTGCTGGCCATGTTCTGCCAAGCTTCAGGTTCCTAGGAATGAGGGTGGAGAAGCTGATGAGCTGTACTTGCATTCTGCCTGCACCATTCTTCTGTGGAAGCCTGGGGCCCTTGAACATTTTATTTAACTTGGATATTTTAATTCATTACCTTGTTTTTCCTAATGGGCTTGCTTTTCTATGGCTCATCTGAGATCGATAAACAGCTGGAGCTGGGCTGCACAAAAGCTTCTAGGCAGACACTAGATGAGAGAAGAGATACTAAACATTGCTGGTTTTCAGCTTGTCACCAGTGATTCAGGGATAAGGGGGCATGCATGGCACTGTCTTTGTCAGGGAGTGGGGAGAAGAGGGAGGGGGCGTTTACAGTGTGCTCAGCAGTCTCAGTGCAGCCAGGCACTGACGCTCTTCTGCATTAAAAGCTGGAGCCTGGGTAGGGCTCAGATGGGTGGGAGGCTCCAAGTGACACTGCAGCCCCTCGCCCAGCCATCTCTGGCTGTCTGTCTCAGCTTCCCGGTCACACCCTGCCTTTGTCTCCCCCTCTCCATCCCTTTGTCTCCTTCGCGCTTAAGCTGTGCCTGCCTCCCGCTGTGTCGGCTGGGGCTCTGTGGATAACACCCTCTTCTACTCCCCAGCTCAAGCAGTGGAAAGCCTTTGAAGAAGAAAGCCAAACCATGAGCTACATGGCAAAATATTTCACCAGCCCGAGCAGGAGCTGCCGCTCAATGTACAGCGAGGAGCAACTCTACCAGCTCATAGGGGAGAAAAACTCTATGAAGCGGCTGCTCACTGAGGTACGGGGCTCTGCCGGCCTCCCTCCTCCAGCTTCTCTCCTTCCCTTTTGTGGGCTGAAGGCTTTTCAGGGTGGGAGGCCCTTATTTACACCCCTGTCCACACTGGTGATCCCTCACCAGCCTCTTCCTTCCTGAGGGAAGAGCTGCTTTGTTTTGTTGCACTCCAAAGCACCACAATTTCGGCATAATCTGGAGGGCTTAAAAAAATTCTGTAGGGAGGAGTGCAAGAGAGCCTGGTTCCCACAGCCTTGTCAAACATGGTTAATTTAGAGGGGAGATGCTGTCTCAGAAGAGCCCCCAGCCTCCTGCTCCCTCACCTGCACTGCATGGGCAGGAGCACCCCAGCCTGAAGAGCTGCCTGCCCAGTGAGCTCCTTCCCACACACACGTCTGGGGGGCTGCAGGGGAGGTTGAGGTCACACATGCTGCCAGTGTGGCTCTTGCCAGGCAGAGAGGGGTGATTTGTTTTCTGGCAGTGCCTGCTTCCAAATTGGCAGTATTTTCCTGCTCTCTGCCCGCCCCACACTTGACAGGCTTATTTGTTTGACACAGAAAAACGCCGTGATTGAAAGCCTGCAGGAGCAAGTGAGCAGCGCCAAGGAGAAGCTGATGAGGCTGATGTCTGCGGAGAGTGGCTGCGAGCCCCGTGCGCTGCCAGCAGCTCCCTGCACCTGGAGCTCAGGGCAGCCTGGGGATGCACCAGGGGACTGCTGCCCCCTGGATACAGAGAGGGATGGGTGGCAGCTCCCCTGCTTGCTGAGTACATCGCCTCTTGGCAGCAATGCTCAGGCCCTCCAGAAACCTGAAACCCAGGAGCCTGTTTGCTCTCAGGTGCTGCTTTTTAATACAGGGGACAACACTGAACATGACCTGCAAGATGTCCAGGAATGTGGGATACCTGCAGTGCAGGGGCAGCCTCCAGAGCAGCTGCCAGGCCAGGACAACTCAGCTGGTGTAGCCTGGGAGTCATCCCCCAAAGTCAGCTATGTAAACAGCGAGAAGCTGTGGGAAATCTTGCAAGAGTTAAGCCTAGATGGCAAAAACTACAGCCCAGCCTTATCTGCAGGACCTCTGCTTGGCAACCGGGGCACCTCAGGAGAGCAGGGAGAAACACAGGTGGGCCAGGAGGGCTACCCAGGCATCCAGACACCCCTCAGCCCCTACCTGGCAAGGCATCGTCGGAGGATCCCATTACCCCCTGCCTCCACACGCTTCCCCGGACACGTATCTCCTCGTGCCAGCAGCAGGGTGAAGGAGGTGGGCAGCTGGGGCCGTGGGGAGTCAGCACATAACTCCCTGGGAAAGGGAGGGGAGATGGCTGGCAGAAGGCTCCTTCACCCCCCAGCACCATCCCCTCCAGCCATCCCAAGGGAGGCCAGCCTCCAGCCAGAGGGGTGGCTGGGATGGCCCGAGTCCCAGGGTGCTTCATCGTGCATTGCACAGGAGCAGCGGCGGCGGCAGGGCACCCCGAGGGGACCTGCTGAGCCCTCCCTGCGCTCACTGTACTATTACCCAGACTCTGACTCCAGCAGCAGCAGCAGCTCTGAGGAGATGTTTCATGGCTGCCACCGACCCTGCTGCGAGGTTTGCTTCCAGAGCCCACGTGGCTCCCTGGACAGCAGCAGCACGGACACAGACACAGAGCCCAGTGACTGTGAGGATCACCAGACAGAGCATCATGGTGGGCCCCAGCCTGTGGTGAATTTCAAAGACGATCTGAAACCCACTTTTGTGTGACTTGAACTACCCCTACCCCAAAGGCAAATGCCCTTCTCCCCCGAAACACTGCATGTTTTCAGCAATGCTAAAGCCACACGTCCCTCTGGGGAATCTGCCGTGTTCTGGAATTTGGGGATTGGGAATAAACCTTGCCCTGTTCTGATTTGCAGTGTCAGCCCCAGCCTGGTCAGCCGTGACTGCAGCCTGAGTTTGGCTGAGAAGGGGTTGGCAGCACTCAGGGAAGTGGTGGTGGCCTTGTCCTGGCTACTCTGTGTCCCACAGGTAACCAGCCGTTCTGTCCATCCTGGTGCCAGCAGTGGCAAAACTGGGGCTGGGGGGGGTCTGTGAGAGCCCAGAGTTCATCTCCTAAGAGAGCTTTTCCTGTGAGACCTGTGTGATTCCTACTGGCAGGGAGAAGTATCCTGCCTCAGAAACAGCCACTGCTTCCTGCACACCACACCATATGGACCAACAGAGGCCTCCTTCCCCTGAGGCTGCTCAAGCAGAGAGAGCATCCCACTGCATCACCCCCAGCTGGGGATGGGAGACAGACGCCAGAAGCAGTTGCCAGCTGCCACTCACCTGGGGTGTGCTGCTTCCAGGCAAAGCAAGGACTTTGGAACAGGGTGTGCACAGCAAACTTTTGGGTTTCAGTGGGTTTCTTTTAGCATCCGAATGAGAAAATGGAGTCCAAAGGTCATGTCTGTGGAGGTGTCTTTGCATTTTGTGTTTTTCAGGTGCATTGTTGTAGGGTAGACTCAGGTCAGAGCTGAAGGGAAAGACAAACCAGCCATTGTGAAGGAGGATCTGAAAAGGGGCTTCTTTTTTTACCTGGATTTCTGGGTCTTGTGCCCTTCTGTCCGTCTTTGTATGGATGATGTAGTCTGGAATAAGGTTTGTTTGAATTAATATGCTTTGTTTAATTTTTATCTTAGAAACACCAAGAACAGTAAATCCAGTGTGTGTGTGCCTTTTTGGGGATATTTATCATGGCATTTGAGCTTATCGTAGCCTCCACAGGAGTTCAGGATGGTGAGACCTGATGCCCAGTGCAATATAAACCTTCTGGAGGAAAGCTTGATTAAAAGAGCAGGTGTCAGAGGAATCCTAGAGCTGGTTTTGAAGAAAGCAGTGTTAGCACTGCTCTTTCCATGACCCTTTATGATGGTGAAACCACTCACTTCTCTTTCCCTTCGCTGGTGCCACCTTTTTTTTCTCCTGTTGCCTTTGCAGTTTTCCAAGCTTGCATGTAAGGCAAATCACCAATTTCAGTAACCTTATGAGGAGCAATATTCCCAGAGCCCCATTTTGCTTTTAAAATGGAAACACCCCAAACAGAGTGTAATCTTTTTTCTTTTTCTTTTTCTTTTTCTTTTTTTTTTTTTTTTTTTTTTTTTTTTTTTTTTTTTTTTTTTTTTTTTTTTTCTGAGCACTTACGGCTCTGGCCTGGGAGTAACGCACTGGCTGGGAGGGTCCCCTGCCTGTGCAGGGCAAACCCGGGAGCCCGGCGACTCCCTGCAGTGGGACTCGGGATCTCCGTCCCCATCGCCTGCCAGCCGTCTGCAGTTCCGCAGCTCTCGCAGCAGGTGTTGCTGCTGCCACGCCGGGTGTGCCGGCAAAGACCGAGTACATCCCACGGCATCGCCACGCTGGGACAAGGGGCGAGACAAGCACGCTCTAGGGAACCTATTAAATGTGGGTCAAAATCTCTCCCCACCCCAAAACGTGTTTAGAATAACACTTTGCTCTGGGGCTGGGAAATACTGCAGCACAGTCAAAGGAAATGATCAACCATGAACCCTCCTGGAAGCAGCTGATATAAAAATTAACTTTAAAGCCACTAGTGAATGCGGAAAAACCCTCCAGAGGACTTTGAACGGAGAGTTTGTTTGGAAACTCACTGCTGAAATTTGAGGTCGTTGCTTTTCTGTGCGGAGACCAGCAGCCACCTGAAAACTGCATAGCCTGTGGATGCCTCTACTAAGAAGGCCAAGAGCATTGTGGTTTGTGTCCTAGTATGCCCAGCAGGACCAGGGCAGTGATCAGCACCTGTATTCAGCACTGGTGAGGTCACACCTCGAATCTTGTGGTCAGTTGTGGGCCCTCTCCTTGCTGATGGCTGTTTAGGGGAAGGGTCACGTCACAGCCAGGATCCGATCTCTCTCCTGCTTCATGAACTTTGGCAAGAAGCAGGAAGGCAAGGAAGCCTTGAGGCTGTTATGCTACAACCACCTGTCATGGCTCAGTCTGCCTCCCTTACCCTGTCAACTTGCCACTGCTTAGGAAATAAAAAAAATTATCTTGATTGTGATTCAGCTGCCTGGTTAAAAAAAAAAGAAAATAAAAGGGAAAAAGATTAAAAGAGTTTTGTTAGCTATGGCAGAGAGGGATTACAACAGGCTCTCTGGCATGGGAGTGCTGACCATTGGTGTGGAAGTTTTCCCACTGCTTCGTGTTGGCATTAGCAGCTGGGATCTCTGGGAACGTCTTGCTCTCATCTTTGATACCAGGTGCAGTTAGGAGAAATAATGAGTATTTGAAAGTACCACAAGAGAGAGAACCTTCAGGTGCCTTTGCCTAGAGTAACCAGACTCTGCAATCCCTGGACACAGTGGTGCCACATCTCTGTGGAGACATTCCTCTGGCACAGTGGGGAGCAGAAGTCAGGGGGCCTATGACTCCAAGTAGCCTGGGCTGCAGGTTTTGAGGAGATGAGGGAGCACCTACATCTGTACATGACCTCCACAGGTCTGGAAGAAGCTTCAGAAAACTCTTTCTTGAATCTGGTGGTCATGAAGGCTGTGCTCTCTTCCAGAGCAGCATTGTTCTCTTGAGCCAAGAAACCAGGCATACCTCTTAGTTTGTCTGGTTTTTCAGGGCTGTCTTCTTGGCCTCTACCTCCAGCTCTGCCCTACTGAACTGCCAGCTGCTGCTGTTCTTACCCCAAGGTCTGCGCTTGCAGTGAGAGCAGCAAAGCTGTGGCTATCCAGTTGTGAGGCACTAAAGCCATCAGTGTAAGCTGCATCCTGATTGCTGGCCTTGTGCTCAGGCAGAAAGTGCTTGGGGAGCTCCATGGAGACAGGGAAAAAATACCATAGAAATAAATGTGGATCCTGGCATGGCAGGAGAACTGTGGATGGCTTCGTGGCTGATGTTAACTGCAGGAACTTCCTGCTACATGACACGGTCGTGCCTTATGGACCTGATTGATCCCTGAACACACCTGGCTGAGCAAGTGCATGGGACGCTGCCACATGGTTCCAAGTTTCTTTCTCTCAATAAGATTGTGTATTGAAGCTGCTGGAGCACATTCACCTTGGAATGTGTACCTCTCAGTGTTTACAGTGGGGTTCCTTGCTTTCACACCCATGCTACCACCTTTCCCCTGTGTAGAGGCACCTCTGTAGCTGAGCTGGTTTTCTTCTAACTCAGGCATCTGTAGCTGCATGCTTTGTGCTGCCAGATCACAATCACTTACGTAAGGATTTTATTTTTTCTGTTTCTTCTTTTTTTTTTTTTTTTTTTTTTTTTTTTTTTTTTTTTTGTCCTGGAGGTTCTTGCAGACAGGATGGGTATGAGGGACTTTGTCCTGCCAGGCAACTAGATAAAGCACTCAGTGATTCAGCATTTATTGCACCCTACACAGATTCCTCTGTTATCATACCAGCAGGAATGTGGGGCTAGAAGGGATCTCCTAGTCATCATCATATTTCCCAGCAATGACAAACAGTGAGTCATAAAGTCCCTCTTGTTAATTTATCACAGTCCATCTTAAGTCATTGGGAATTTTCTTGGCAGGTTATTCAAGAACTTCACTGTGACAGAAGGAAACTTGTTTCTGATTTGCAGCCCACATTTTTTCATAGCCTATTTTTGTCTACTTGTTCTCATGCCAATGCTGTCTTCTAGTTAGTAGCTTTTCTTCCTTCCCGTTCTCCAACCTACTCTCTTCCATGCCGATGAAGAATGTGGCCTCCTCTTCCCAGGATCCCTGGTCTACTCGGAGAAGAGACTATTTTTAGTTCCCTCCAGCAGCTCATACCTATCCCTCTTTCAGTCTGCAGGGCTTTGAGGGAGAGCCCTAGTTTCATTGCTACCTGGTTATATTGCATATCCTTCCCTTGGCACCCATGTGAAGATGGCTGTGTACTCTTCCCTGCCCCCAGCAGCACAGGAGGCCAAGGATGCTGGGACAGGATCATGCTCACCTTTAAAAACAGAGAAGAAGCACTCATTGGAGGTTAGAACATCAGAAAGGCAGGCCAGAAGCAGGCAAGATTCCTGTGGCTCATCAGGAAGCTGACATTTTCTCTGCAAATCTGCAATGGCCCTGGGAGTCCCAGCACCCATCGGGTCCTAGATTCACCGCCAGTATGTTACTAATCTCACGGAAGGGCTGTCCATCCGTGTTTCCTTTCAACACACCTCCTGGAATTGTTGAGAGATGCACCTGTGCCTGGTGAGGGCAGAAACCATGAAGAGCTTTTATTTCTTGGAGTTTCCCACATCTTAGAAAATCCATAAGGACCTGAATTCCTTAGAAACCCCCTGGTACCTCTCAAGGGGTTCACAGAAGGGGAAAATGAAAGCACACCCCTCTGCATTGTCCTGATGACATGATCCAACATAGGAATAGCATGGATATTTTATTGGAAAAAAGTGACTGTAATGAGCAAGGCCACTCTTCTGGAGTTGTGCACTGGTTTCCAGGCAATTGCATCTCGTATCTAACCCAAATGATCGGGTGATATTTCAAACCAAAGAGAATGGCAGGAATAATATTAGCTGATGCAATCGCACCTTGAATTTACAGCAGTGCTAGGCAGATCCATGAACAGTGGGATACTGTGTACATGATTACAGCAAATTCAAACCCTTGTTTGAAAGCAGCTGGGTTTTGGTTGGGTATTTTTTAACAGTCCCCCAAACAGAGGTGGTAGATAAAGACTTCCTTTCTTGTGACAGGTGAATCTTACACTGATGGTGAACTACACTTTGGCAAGTATCAGTTAATTTCCTTGCTATTACAGCCAGCCTTTTTCATGCCAGTAACAAAAACACATTTAGAGCTCTCCTGCTTCTGCAGTCCATTCTTTACAATGCTCCAATGGTGAAGTCTTTTTCCTAGTTCTGCCAATGCTGCAGTCAATGGGGGAGCCAGGC